AGAACCTTTTAGCTTGATTTCAACTTGTAGTTTTTAGGCATGTGCACTTTATCCACTCGTTGTAAGTCATGCGAACTGTTACATGCATCTCTTGCTATTTCTTTCAACTTGATATTGTCATTTTGAGCAAAATTTCTCCTTTCATCATTTAAAAAGGGTTGCCAAATACATTGGAGATATAAGAACAGACAATTTAAGACAACTAAAACCCCATGTGAACTGCTGTCTCATTTTCTGATAGCTCACGTGACATAGGCCTATAACGTAGATCCTAGCCCTAGCATACTTTATGATATACTTTAATAGTAAAAGTGTCCTTGTTTAAAATTATTTATATCACTCAATTGTGCACTGTCTTCAAATAATAATTTAGAGGAAGAAAGTTTTTTCCTGAAGTTAGTAGCCTAAGGAGTCGGTATTAAAAGTTTCCAATGAAGGCATACTTATTAAAACTAATGGGAATGCCTTTTTCCATTTGAAAAAATATTATATGCCAAAAAAACTAATTTTTCAAAAATTAGGGTCGATAGTGCTCTCTCACTTAATTTTTCTGGGCTAACTTGCGCGCGCGCGTGTGTGGAATGGGGAGGGGGGATCATCCATGATATCAGCCTACATATCATCACGTGAGCTGCAACGCATGACAGAGACCGGAAATGCGTGAGTGGAAGTCTTCAATCAATGGAGTACGGAAATAGCGTTTGGACCTAGGAAAAACCCAGTGGGGAAAACCCAAGAAAAATGATACGGGATAAAACCGAAAAAACGAAACAGATCTTGTTCAAAATATTTTAATAATCGTAATTTTGTTGGGAGGGGGGAGGGAGGGAGGGGGAGTTGGTACAGGAAATCCAACATGTGAATCTGTAATTTCAACATCAATTTACAGGGAGTCCAACCCAAGCAAGTCAAGTCCTCAACCCTTCATTTTCCAAAAATTTTGTAAGCCACCCATCTGTCTTTGAAAATATAGGCTGGCTTTTGAGGCCAATGACCATTCAAATGATGGCTGGACAGCTCTCTAGAGAAAGCTTTGATTGTAAATCTAGGTAGTTTGCTTGAGAACCAAACAATATCAAAGCTAAACGAAATATAACCATTTACATAAAATTGACAAATAACACCAATACCTACCCATGGTGTAGATAAGATCCCACTCATCCTGTAGAAAAGCTCCATAGTGCCCTCTCCTTGCTATAGCCTGTGGACAGCCAAGATTCAAATCTACAGCATCACAATGATCCTGGGCAAGTAATGCTGCTTGGAGGAACAATTGGGGATCATTGGCACAGAACTGAAAAACAATGATTTTTGCATAAGTTTTGCGTCATTCACTCCATAACTGCCAAACTAAAGTTTTGTTTCACCTAAACTAACTAAGATACCTTTCATATAGATTAAAGGACAGACTGATGAAAATTATATGTATTTCACTGCGTTTTTGTCATTTATTTTATTTTTTTCACTTACAGCTACATTTGTGACATTCACCCCATAACTGCCAAACAATTTTTGTTTAACTTAAAATTAGCTAGTTTTTAACATTCATTTTGCCAGCACTATGCATATACCTGTACAATCAAGGGTCTGTCCTCTGAACAAGATGCTAAAGCATCCTCTCTGTATTTTGGATCCTTCACAAACTGGCCTGCGTGGAACATAGGTGTGTAGCACAGTTCTGCCCCATATTGTCTACTCAGTAGTCTCCAAGCCAGCTCACTCTGGTCTACCATTGGAGCAACTACCAAACGAGCTCCTCCCAATGTTTGCCTCCAGAATTCATACCCAGACAGCTTTGGGCGAGTCATTTGTTCATTTGAGGTTTCCATTCACTTCTTCACAAGTTTTTACTTCACCCGCAAGTGCATGAAACTAAAACAATTAAAGTAGACACTTTCCTTATCAAAATAACTTATTCAACCAAAAAGTAAAGGATCGGAGCAGCTGTAATAATGGGGCAAAGTAATGCCTTATTGCTTACACATCACAGCACCGCACAGTAACCGAATGCTGAACATAACCCAGAGCATGCTTGAGCTGAAGCAGTGAGGCAAACCCGATGTGGGTCATCTTTATTTTCAAATTTCCACACTTATTATCCGAGAAGCGTGTACACGTGAACATATGGAAATAAAAAACTTGGTGTAAATCGGATCTAAAACCCAGGATAACCTTCTGATATCTTACAAACCAAATTTACTTACGTGTACGATTTCCTCATTTCTTGCAATGTGTATAAATGTAGTTTGTTTCCCGCCTCCAAAAGGGAAGAGCACTTTTATCAAGATAAGCTATCATTTTCTGTAAAGCACAAATAACGAGTGCTCTTAATGTTTAAAAAATTGACATCTGTTCCATTTTTCTAAGCGGAAATATAATTTTATAAAGTGTACTGGGTGTATTTTTTATCACAAAATCTGCTGATTTTGGCTTAAAGACTAGTGGTAGCTGTTGGCAGGGAACATAAAATTTGTATTTCAAAGATCGTGACCTTGCATTTCAATGTTTTAAAACAAATTATCCCTTTTAAACATTTGAAAATTATACATCAAAATCTAATCAATGAGATAAAATCACTATCAATGACATACAGCATTTAAAGGGGGCTATGCTGCATGTGTGGGAAAAACACTTCACTGTTGCCCTAAGTTTACATATATATCCTGCAAAGCTTTTATGAAAGAATAAAACTTCAAACCCAACCAAGTGCAGGAATGGCTTGAGCAACGATTTATTAGGATAAAATAGCCCTTAAGGAATTTTTTTAATTTTGGGTGGGAAAAAAAGCAAATACTTAATATTTTTTAAAAATTAAACTAAAAATGCTCTTTGTACATCAAGTTTATGTTTTTCATTTTTGTTGATATCAAATAATATGTACTCAAAACACCTTCAATTTTTTACCAGAGAAAAAAACAGTCTGCACTGGACATGCTATCAGGGGAGTTGCCTTCACAATTTTGAATTTAGACACTTTTCTGACACCTCAATTTGGAGCATTGCTTTATTGTCATTGTCGTGATGTTAGGTTTGACCTCCCATCATACTTCCATAATTTTGCAGTAAGTGACAGCACACTGAAACCTGGATCTCTGGAACACATACCAAATAATCATTTCATATCCAATGTCAATAGTTTATATCAAAAGCAAGGTGGATTTCAACAAATGGAAATGTTGGAATGCACACAAAAAGTCTTTTGTATTTAAACATAACAACAACTAGAGGATCAGANACATAACCATTTACATAAAATTGACAAATAACACCAATACCTACCCATGGTGTAGATAAGATCCCACTCATCCTGTAGAAAAGCTCCATAGTGCCCTCTCCTTGCTATAGCCTGTGGACAGCCGAGGTTCAAATCTACAGCATCACAATGATCCTGGGCAAGTAATGCTGCTTGGAGGAACAATTGGGGATCATTGGCACAGAACTGAAAAACAATGATTTTTGCATAAGTTTTGCGTCATTCACTCCATAACTGCCAAACTAAAGTTTTGTTTCACCTAAACTAACTAAGATACCTTTCATATAGATTAAAGGACAGTCTGATGAAAATTATATGTATTTCACTGCGTTTTTGTCATTTATTTTATTTTTTTCACTTACAGCTACATTTGTGACATTCACCCCATAACTGCCAAACAATTTTTGTTTAACTTTAAATTAGCTAGTTTTTAACATTCATTTTGCCAGCACTATGCATATACCTGTACAATCAAGGGTCTGTCCTCTGAACAAGATGCTAAAGCATCCTCTCTGTATTTTGGATCCTTCACAAACTGGCCTGCGTGGAACATAGGTGTGTAGCACAGTTCTGCCCCATATCGTCTACTCAGTAGTCTCCAAGCCAGCTCACTCTGGTCTACCATTGGAGCAACTATCAAACGAGCTCCTCCCAATGTTTGCCTCCAGAATTCATACCCAGACAGCTTTGGGCGAGTCATTTGTTCATTTGAGGTTTCCATTCACTTCTTCACAAGTTTTTACTTCACCCGCAAGTGCATGTAACTAAAACAATTAAAGTAGACACTTTCCTTATCAAAATTACTTATTCAATCAAAAAGTAAAGGATCGGAGCGGCTGTAATAATGAGGCAAAGTAATGCCTTATCGCTTACACATCACAGCACCGCACAGTAACCGTATGCTGAACATAACCCAGAGCTTGCTTGAGCTGAAGCAGTGAGGCAAACCCGATGTGGGTCATATTTATTTTCAAATTTCCACACTTATTATCCGAGAAGCGTGTACACGTGGACATATGGAAATGAAAAACTTGGTGTAAATCGGATCTAAAACCCAGGATAACCTTATGATATCTTACAAACCAAATTTACTTACGTGTACGATTTCCTCATTTCTTGCAATGTGTATAAATGTAGTTTGTTTCCCGCCTCCAAAAGGGAAGAGCACTTTTATCAAGATAAGCTATCATTTTCTGTAAAGCACAAATAACGAGTGCTCTAAATGTTTAAAAAATTGACATCTGTTCCATTTTTCTGAGCGGAAATATAATTTTATAAAGTGTACTGGGTGTATTCTTTAATACAAAATCTGCTGATTTTGGCTTAAAGACTAGTGGTAGCTGTTGGCAGGGAACATAAAATTTGTATTTCAAAGATCGTGACCTTGCATTTCAATGTTTTAAAACAAATTATCCCTTTTAAACATTTTAAAATTATACATCAAAATCTAATCAATGAGATAAAATCACTATCAATGACATACAGCATTTAAAGGGGGCTATGCTGCATGTGTGGGAAAAAACACTTCACTGTTGTTTCCTGCAAAACTTTTATGAAAGAATAAAACCTCAAAACCCAACCAAGTGCAGGAATGGCTTGAGCAACGATTTATTAGGATAAAATAGCCCCTTTCTTAAGGAATTTTTTTAATTTTGGGTGGGAAAAAAGCAAATACTTAATATTAAAAAAAAAATTAAACTAAAAATGCTCTTTGTACATCCAGTTTATGTTTTTCATTTTTGTTGATATCAAATAATATGTACTCAAAACACCTTCAATTTTTTACCAGAGAAAAAAAGTCTGCACTGGACATGCTATCAGGGGAGTTGCCTTCACAATTTTGAATTTAGACACTTTTCTGACACCTCAATTTGGAGCATTGCTTTATTGTCATTGTCGTGATGTTAGGTTTGACCTCCCATCATACTTCCATAATTTTGCAGTAAGTGACAGCACACTGAAACCTGGATCTCTGGAACACATACCAAATAATCATTTCATATCCAATGTCAATAGTTTATATCAAAAGCAAGGTGGATTTCAACAAATGGAAATGTTGGAATGCACACAAAAAGTCTTTTGTATTTAAACATAACAACAATGATAGCATTCTTAAAACATGGAACTTGCTGAAGCACATATGTTCAAGTGTTTCAACTATAAACATGACTCTGCCATGTAGCTATCTCAGTGTTGATATGCTACATATTGTAGTCTATATTTTCCAAGCTATTAAAGCTGAATTAGTATACAGTCCTGGTCACTCAGTTCCTAGCACCTGTGCTGCCAGGAGCAATGGACATTTCACCTCCTTGACCACTGTCCCTGGGAGGACTCTGGAAAACAATTTTAATCATGTAATTAATGTCTTAATTTATCACGCTAAATAGAAAATACCAGTCATTTTTAAGACAAAATTCTTGCATACTAAGACTATGACAAAAAACAGGACTAGTTAAGAATTGCTTAAAAGGTTTATGCTTTTTTTATTTCTCATTTCCATTTTCTTTTAAAAAGTATTACTTTTTAATCAATCATCAACTTATACTATATGTACCCACCTTAACATGAATTTGATTTTTTAACATAGCTGATCTCAAGATAAGTGCCTGGAAGAAAAAAATATTTAAACAGCTTTCTGGACCATCAAGACAAACATAACATCAAATGAAGCAGTGTATTAGCACATTTTTGTGTAACTGATGCAGCAATATTAAGCATACTATATTTTAAAAATCGAATATCAAAGTGAAGTGATTATTAAAAGTCAGAAAAAATAAGTGTGAATGGGGGTCATAGAGTAGGGGAAAGAAATTGTACATCATCCTATTGAAGCTTGCTTTCCAGGCCTGCAGACTACTTTACTACATACAATGATAATTTAAAAAGAAAGTAAATTCCAAATTATTTTTGTGCCAAAAATAAAACAAATTCAATATAACTTTGACAAAAAAAATTGCAATATGAAAAGCCCTGCAACAAAAAACAGTTCATCAAAAAAGGTGTGCCCATACATAGGCTGGATTCAGAACAGATGATCTGCCAACTTACTGATCTTACGGATCAAATATGGCTGCCCCAACTTGAAAACGATGCTGTATAATCCCCTGGTGGTCTTCCTGCCTATTACATGCACAAGGCCTGCTGGGGCCTAGCAATTAAATGGATTAAATCTTGGCTCCAAGGTTAAATTGCTAGGCCCTTGCAAGGATGCCGTAAGGAGTCAGGGAGACCATAAGGGGATTAAGCAGCATCACTTTTAAGTGGGTCAGCCATATTTGATTTGCAGATATGTTAGTCCCATATCATCTGTTTTGAATGCGGCCTTGGGGAATTCCATGTCAAAAGTTCTATACCTTTGTCCTCCTTTGATAATCTTTTCCCTTTTGTAATGCTTTGTCAAAGGTTGAGCTCCTTTGGTCAATATCCTTTGCATAAAGTACCTTGAAAAATTATCAGTATATATCATATTCATAGAAATATTTCTTAGATCGCATTCACAACAGCAGACTTACTAGTCTGCAGTTCAAATGTGGCCAACCCACTGGAATGCTATTTGCGTAATCCCGTGTGGAATCTATTCGGTCTCTATTAGGGGATTAGACAGCAATATTTTAAGTGGGTAGCAACATTTGATCTGTGGACTAGTTAGTCTGCTGTTCTGCATGCAACCTTAGAGCACATAATATATCCTTAATAAAATAAACATCCCTTGCAATGAATGCCCAAAATTAACAAAAAGGCAATAAATAAAAAAAAAACTTTATATATTAGATGACATATATGCTATAGTTTTTCCCTTTCTTTACATTTGCACAGTAAACATTTGTAACTTCAGATATCTAACCATTTTATGAGAATCAATGCGTGCATTGATCTGGCCATCCAGAATCAGTTGCATCAGTTCATCCTCCAAAGCATTCACTGTGGTGTTGAAGGCTTCTGCCATCTTTCCCATATCTGCAGACATGTATGGACTGAAATACTAAATAAAATGCAATCTATAATTACCATTTCACAAAACAATTACAAAGTCATCATAATTTTTTTTTCTTTTCTTGGAGCAAATGTAATGTATATCCATAAATGCATTGGATCCCCCCCCCTCCCCCCAAAAAAGTTGGGATCCTTCCAAAGTCAAAAAAAGTCAATTTCCAACCCCCATTGGACTAGCTGTAATGATACATCAACAAAGATCTTACCTACAACAAATATTCCAATATCTGAGGGTGGAAATATGTAAGCATCAACTATTTTAATTCGCATGCAACTATACATAATGAAGCTATCAAAATAAAAACATGGAAATAGAATATCAATCCTTACCTGGCATAGTGCTCTGTTTCTAATTTGTGTATACAGCGTATTAACATGTGGAGCAATATACAGATCTAACAGTAAGTTTTCCTGTAATGGAAGATACAACCACAGATGTAATTTACAGATATGATAAACAATGGCAAAACCACAAATAACCAAAAGAATGATAAGTTGATAACTGGTAAAAGAAATGCCCATTTTGGATATATCAACTTAAATGTATTTAAAACATTTCAGAGATTACACATATCTCTTCATATATTCCTTTAATTCTATAAACAATTTTATTTCAATAAATATAATATACATCCTTCATAGTTTCATTAATTTATTTTAAATCAAAAAGTTATCAAAGCAAAAATATCCTTATAATCATCCTTTTTGATGAAAACAGTCGTATCATTGAAACATTGTGATCTGTATTTCAACATAAGATCCAGTATAAGAATTAAATTTTCTATTATCTTAGTGAAGAAGTCTTTACTTACCCTAATTTCTCCCAAAAGTTTTAGACAAGATGCATACTTTGACTCATAAAACTTGTAAATAATATCTCTGAGCTGAGGTTCTAACTCTAAGAACAGTTTGAAGGAACTGAAAAGCAATTTGTAATAATAATTATGGCATTATCAAAAGCTTCCAAAAATAAAACATGTGCATAGCATTTATACCACAAATAAATACCGTAAAACATAAAACAATTGCTTGAATAATTCTTAAAGACACAGACTTGACTCCAAAACTCATCAAATTTACCTGCTGGCCATGACATGTTTTTGCAACTCCTGTCTATCAAAGGAAGCCAAGGCACACAGTGCCCCATATGTTGCAACATTGCTGGCAGAGATGAGCTGAAAGTCAAAGAACAAAATATCCATCAGCTAATGACATACACAGAAACAGCTACTTTTTTCCATTTACAGAGGCCAGCTGAGTGATAAAAAGCAGTGATTTTTAAGGAAAATGAGAGAAAAAGAAAAATGTATCATTTGAAAAGATCTTGTTCACAATAAATCAATGTTTTTAATAATACAAAGTCAATTTTTCCAATTTGATATTTATCTAAACAAAATATTTAATTCAACAGGAATATCTGAGATTATTAATCAGAACATAAACCATGACAACATAGACCTTTCTATCAAATAAACACTTTACCTCAGGAAAATCACAATGGTCAAAGCTGGCCTGAAGGAAGTACTTGGCAGCAGATTTATATTTTTTAGTGGCCAGTTCTGCCAGTCCTGCTGCACATTTCAGTTTAGTGATCACCACCCAGCCTCCATCTTTACTTTGGGTCTGACAATGAAAAATGTAAGTTAATAGCAATAGGAATATATTTCTTAATATTTATAAGCACTACTGTGTTTAAACATGATAAAAAAGAATTTCCTAATATAAACAGTTAGACAGACCTCAAAGTCATGCATCATGGACCATTCATTCATATACAAGATTATTTGTCACAGGCTAATAATAAGAAGTTGAATATTGGTAAAGAATTTCATTTTAGACATATATACTTATTTCATATGCATTTCTCCCTTTGACATAAAAATTTACTTGACTCTTAAAGATGAGTGCCTAAAGAAAAATAAAAAGAATAAAACAGTGCCACAGTTAGCCTTGATATTACTTACCTCTGTTACCTCGGGAGTGGCCTCTGCTTTATTTACATAGCTTAACACATGGGACCAGTTTTGTAGGTACACGCTGACCTAGAAATACATGCAGTCATATGACACAGCTAACTAATGAAATGCATTTAAATATGAAAACAAGGCAGCAAAGCTGTCAAATGTACAGACAAGAAACAGAAAATAAAGATGCAAAAAAGGTCATTTTGTCATTATTGATGCAATAATAAATAATGCTTATAATAGCACTGTCAGTCAACACTGAATTTTAATCTTGCACAACAGGTAACATGGTCAATAACAGGAGCAGACCCAGAGATAATTTCTGACAGTATTACAAAGTATCTATGTTGATCCATCCTCCATTTTGATGGTCTTCCAACAGAAAAAAATAGATACCAGTCAATATAAACTTAATAATCTGACTGTCTTCCGGCAGACCCAGAAGATGGTCTCAATCCACCCCTACAATAAGATTACAGTTTCAGGACCATGAGAGTTCAAATTCACATTATGAAAGTCTCAATATTTGAAAAATGATGACAGTGCATAAAATAATATTACAT